TTTTTTTTTTTTTTTTTTTTTTTGAGATGGAGTCTCTCATTCTGTTGCCCAGGCTGGAGTGCAATAGCATGATCTCGACTCATTGCAACCTCTGCCTCCCAAGTTCAAGTGGTCATCCTGCCTCAACCTCCTAAGTAGCTGGAATCACAGGCACACACCACCATGCCTGGCTAATTTGTGTGTTTTTAGTAGAGATGGGATTTTACCATGTTGGTCAGGCAGGTCTCAAACTCCTGACCTTGTGATTTGCCTGCCTCAGCCTCCCAAAATGCTGGGATTACAGGCGTGAGCCACCGTGCCCGGCCAGTGAATAGAATCTTATACACTAATATTATTTACTAATACTATTATCACAGACATCTTTCCATGTCAGTAATTATAGATCAGCCTCATTCTTTTTGTTGGTGACCTAGTGGTTCTATGATCTTAATATACCATTAATTCATTCAGTATGTTTCTTGTTGATGAAATTTAGAGTTTTTTCAATATTAGCAAATTATTGTAATAAATTCAGCTATATTTATAGAACTCTGTCAGTTGAGATGCTCAGGAAATGGAAGTAATTTTCTAAATTGAATTATAAGTGATATACTAATAATAATAGGAGCTAACACTTATATTGCACTTACCATGTGCCAGATTTTAAGTATTTTACACATGCTAAATAATCTTGCTGTCCTTATAATTCTAATATAATTCTTACAACAATCTCATTAGGTAAGTACTGTTTTCATTTTACAGGTGAGGACACTAAGCTACAGAGTAGTTGTGTTGTGTTACTTGTCTGAGGTCATTCAGCTGTTAAGTAGTAAAGCTGAGATTTGAACCCAGGCAGTTTGACTCCAGAGTTCATATCTAAGCCACTGCACTAAGCTACTTCTCTGGGTACCACTGTAGCAAATGCAATGTGAATCCCTATTTTTTTTTTCTGGAATTTTATTTTCATGTTTGTTGTTTAAGATGCTGATTATAAAGTTTCTCATTTCATAGATTTTTATGACAGTTGTTAAAAAAATTTCATATATATATATGTGTGTGTATATATATATATATATATATTTTTTTTTGACCTGTAAGTCAAATGAAAAGAATAATTCATTTGGGAACCGTGACTGGAAAGAGATTTACCTTAAAGGTAACAGACTTGAAGCTTCAGGCCCTTCTTTGGCATTAACCTCTTCCAAGACCCTGACCTAATTTTGTATTTGCAGTTTTGTATTCTTCTCCTTGAAGGAGACCCCCAAATTGTTTTTCGTTTCAGGCCCTATAAAACTGAGAACTGTCCTGAGCATGGCATAGTAAATGAAATTTGATTAGAATTTGATAGTAAAAAAAAAAAAAAAACGAAGTAGTCTTTTTTTTTTTTTTTTTTTTTGAGACGGAGTCTCGCTCTGTCGCCCAGGCTGGAGTGCAGTGGCCGGATCTCAGCTCACTGCAAGCTCCGCCTCCCGGGTTCATGCCATTCTCCTGCCTCAGCCTCCCGAGTAGCTGGGACTACAGGCTCCCGCCACCTCGCCCGGCTAGTTTTTTGTATTTTTTTAGTAGAGACGGAGTTTCACCGTGTTAGCCAGGATGGTCTCGATCTCCTGACCTCGTGATCCGCCCGTCTCGGCCTCCCAAAGTGCTGGGATTACAGGCTTGAGCCACCGCACCCGGCAAGAGTACAACAGTAATATATTCCACAACAGTAAAGCAAAATAAGCAAGATTATCCCAAGTTAACTAAATTAGAAGACTTTCCACGAACTGGGCAACTATTGGAACCAAGCTGATATGGGGTTGCTAGGTGATTCCAATACATGCCCAGGATTAGAATATTGATCCAGATTTTTGCTTTACCAATCCCTCCTGTTTCTTCTCAGTAGCATCCAGAGATCACTGGTTGCTCCACAGGAATAAGCAGGGTTAGTCTAAATTGCAGGAAATCTCAAAAACAACTGATGAAACCAGAATTCAATAACAAATGTACCATAGTTCTTGAAACACAATTTTTCTCTCTCCAGTTTCCCATTTTTACTAAAGAGAAATCATGGTAAGGCTGATTTGCTTTATTATACATGGCCTGATTATTTGTACAAAGTGCAGCAAGAATAATTGTTTGCCATATAGGCTTTTAAAATTAGTTTTGATAGAACTCTTCCATAAGAAACCTTAGAGAAGACCTTTTTTTTTTTAAGCCAAGCCCAGCCATGGATTTATACCCTCAAATACCTATGAGTTGGGTAAATTTCTCTCCTCTTGAGGTCTCATGATAACTTGGGGCTCCTGAGTCTGTCGGAAAGTGACATTCTTTACTTACTACAGGTTAGGAACCCTGTATAGAGACTGTGTAAACAAGGTACGAGGCCAGTTTTCCCCAGGGGCTTTTATTAGCTTTACAAGTCAAGTTTGATTCTTTAAAGGAAAGCATGCCATTCCAGTCAAAGCCTTGGCAAAATAACCAGTAGTTTCTCCAATTGTGCCCCGTTGCAAAGGAAAGCAGATTCTTACTGCATTTATGCAAATAACTATATTGCCATAAGTTAAGATACTCATAAGTAATTTCCAAATTCTGGAGAAATCAGAGAGGAACAAATATGCTCCAAATTTTGTTTATGAGTATGTACATTACTTAATTGTTTAAAAAGCTGTGAATAACTTAAAAGTTTCCTTGACTCTGAAGAACAAAACAGGATCAGCAATGTTTTAAGCAACAAGTCAAAAAAGGTTACTTCAGACTTCTATTAGTTTAGTCTATACGGTTAACTTCTGTTTTGCTTGACATACATGAACATTTCAACTTTCCATGACAGTCCTGAAAGTTTCTCTTTCCCTTTTCTAATGTCACAATCTCCAAAGTTAAATGAAACCTGCATTCAAGAACACCTATTAGAGTTGTATAGTTGATTATAAATCACCTTTTGGGGCTTGGTGGCTCATGCCTGTAATCCCAGCACTTTGGGAGACTGAGGCAAGTGGATCACTTGAGGTCAGGAGCCTGACAAACATGGTGAAACACTGTCTCTAATAAAAACACAAAAATTAGCCAGGCATGGTGGCACGCTCCTGTAATCCCAGCTACTTGGGAGGCTGAGGCACGAGAATTGCTTGAACCTGGGAGGCAGAGGTTGCAGTGAACTGAGATTGTACCACTGCATTCCAGCTTGGGCAACAGAGTGAGACTCAGTCTAATAATAATAATAATAATAATAATAATAATAATAATCTCCTTTTGAAGAGGATCAAAACAAAATAATTGTCTATGGATGACAAAAAGTTTTAGGACAGCCACAGTTAAAAACACAATTGACAAAGAAATTTGGTTACCTCTGTTGCATACAATGGTTTTGTGTAACAATTATAATTATACTGATAAGGTGCACTAAGTCATATCAGAATTATAGGAGTTTCCCATTATTTTGGAACACATACTAATAACATATTTATACAAATATAGCCCGAGGAAAGCTAAACACTGTTTCACATTTGACACTGCTTCCTGTATGACTTTTATGCCATATTTCACCTTTACATAACTG